TTTTAGTTGACAGGAAGTATACAGTAAAGGTAGATAAGTTTGTAACTTTCAGCTTAAAAATATTTCTCCTAGGGGACACTATTTTCCCGCTTTTTGGTCCTCTATCTCTTGTTAAGGTGTTACTTTGCTGGCATGAGCCCCCGCTGTTTTTTTTTATCCATTAAAACTGTATCTAGACTCTTCCTAGTGCGTCATCTACATTTTACCACTGTTGATAACCTTGCAAGTCCTAGGTACATGAGTTTAACTGAAACGGTTCAGCAGAAATTTTTTAAACATGTTTAGATTGGCGTTTTCTAGATTATACTTCTCAGCTGTAGAAGAACATGGAAATAAATGATAATGAATGTTCCAAAATCTGTAAGCAACAAGTTCTATCTTTTACGCTTCAAGGGAGGGAGTGGGGAACATCAATTTACAACATTGAAAACAAAATAAATTTCCATATCTGATGATATGCTTGACATAACAGAGCTCAGAGTTGGAGTTCAGAAGTTTTTTTTTTTTTTAAATAAGAAACCTGAAGGGATGTATTGTCTTTATGATTAAAATTTAGGGCTCCTTTTGATAGCCATTTGATTTTTTGCTTTTGAAAATTATGCTTATAAACACTACTTCCATCATAAGTTTCTTTGTTTTGTTATCCACTTTTTACCAATGTTTTTAGTATGTTTTTAGAATTTGACTTAGAATCAAGTTTTTCTTTAAGAAAGATGATAATCATAATACGAGGAAATGAACATAAATTTTGAAAACAGAAAACTAAAAACAAAATCGTTATTAAACGGGGTCTAGATTTTCTTTCTTTGAATGTCTTCATTTTTTCTCTGTTCAGGTTTGTGATTTTGGTCTCTCCCGTTTAAAGGCACGAACATTTCTTTCATCAAAATCCGCAGCTGGAACAGTAAGTTCTTGGCATTGTAGCAATATATCGCCACACTATCCCTATTCGTGGAAGTTGTCTATACAATTTCTAATGTTTAACTATTCAATTTGTTAGCCTGAATGGATGGCACCAGAGGTACTACGTGATGAGCCGTCAAATGAAAAATCAGATGTTTACAGCTTTGGAGTGATTTTGTGGGAGTTAGCAACTTTGCAACAGCCATGGTGTAATCTAAACCCAGCTCAGGTTTTTTTCTTCCGTCTTCTTATAGTAATGTTGTCGGATAAGAAAATTGCACTGTTATCAAAAGCAAATGTTCTCTTTAAGCTTTGATCGTTTGTAAGTCTTCTAGAGCTTCCTAGTTTAGAATATCAAACACGCACACTCTCTCTCTCTCTCTCTGAAGATAAATGGAACTTTATTAACTTAATGAAATAGATAAAAATTAAAAAATAAAAAAAAAAATAAAAAAGAAAGAAAAAAAAAGGCAGGAGAGGCCCTCCAAACAGAAGAGGGGTACAAAAAGCCACAAATATTTTTTAAAGAATAACTACAAAACATATTGCTAAGCTTGTACCATGAGGCGGCTGTGATGATGTATTCAGTAAGATTTGTGTAGTTTCTTCCATTTCCATTAAAGGGTCTGTTGTTCCTGTCTAGCCAAATATTCAAGAAGAAGCTCTGGATGATGTTGAGCCAAAGCATTTTTAGCCCTCTTTGTAGGACGAGTGAGATAACAAAAGAGATTGAATGTTTGAGGAAATCTTTGTTCATTGGCAAGGTCAAACTGCAAAAGACTAAGACATGGCTCCAAAACACGATAGCAAAGCAGCAGTGGGGAAAGAGGTGGTTTTGAGTTTCATTTTGCTTGCATAGAGACCACCCGTAGCAATTTTCCAAAAACATTGGAGTATGTTTATTATTCAAGCCAAAACCCGGGATGGAATTGCCGTTTTCAAGTATTTGGCAGTATTTCCTACCAGAAAAAGTCAACTCACTACAAATATTAATAGCCCTAGTAATCTAAATGGATCACGGAATTTAGATGAAGAGAAAAGACGCGAAAGAAGTTTTTTTAAAACATGGCTGAAGGATCTTGTCCTAAATTTTGGCGCTAAAAATGTAAAAAGAAATGGTTAGTGAAGGAGAAGAAAACTTCACTTTTTCCACAAGATTGCTGTTAGAAGGAAATATGTTATCACTAGCTCGGTGATTGGTGAATCAAGAAAACTGTGAGGAGTATCTCTCCTAACTTGGGAAGCGTCTGGGAAAGATATATTCCCTACGGACTTCTGTGGAATTCTGGCTTGTCGATGAAAGGCATGCTTGGGAGGCCAGTTGATGATGAAGTGAGGATGGGTATAAAAGTAAATCTTGGAGCCAATAAAACTCCAGGCACAAGGTTTTGACATGGAATTCTGCTTAGGAGTTCGGGATGTTGTTAGTAAAGATAATATGGAAATGTGTCAAAGTTTTCGTAAAGGACTATCAACTGTAGTTTTGAATGAGATGTTTGTTGATTGCTCTTATTCCAGAAAAGGAGAAAGTTACCAAAATTGCGAATGTTTGGTTGAAAAGACCACATTAAGTACGTAGAAGATCTTGGCTGATAGGTTCAGTGAGGTTCTTCCCTCTACTATCGTTTTTCCTTGGCTTTTGTTACTACTGGAAAATTTGTTGGTCCAATTTTGGTCTTTTCTCAAACAAGATTCTCGGAAAGAAAGGTTTTGGATCAAGATGGAAGCTATGGCCAGCCTAGGGGTAAAAGTATCACTTTTAGGGACCTGAGGCTAGGTGATCTCTTGACTTTTTGCCTTGTGTTGATTGAGCAGTTTTTGGTGAAAGATGTAGCAAATGGTGATTTTGAAGGATTTTTCATTTGTTTAAACATCCACACTACAATTTATGACTGCAAAACTCACGTTGAGTGAAAATTGGGTTAAGGAATCTGCACCTTTGTTTTCCTAGCCTAGGCGATATGTGATATCAAAATCATACCCTCTTGATTTTGTGGTCAATCCCAATGCCTCATGCTAATTTCCTTTGCTTTATTAGATACTTCCAACATTTTTGGTCAGAGCAAAAATGAGATGTTTCCTACCTCATGATGTAACCTCTCCTTTTTTTCAAGTGTGAACTTCTCAATGTTGGATTTCTATTAGGCTTGTGAAGAAAGAACCCAATATCACAACAAATATACCCTGAAAAACAGTAGAGAAGGGATTCGGCGGAGTTCAATTACTGAAAGCGACAAATGATGTTTTCTCACCATAAAGTTTGTGAAAAACCTGCGATGATTTTTTCTGTTCTTTTCTCTTTTTTCCTTTTCTGCATTCCTTGCCTATATGATGTGTGGGATTTTGATGTTTGTTGTAGACATTGTTGCTCAGCTATAAATCCCACTTCAGTTTGCATAACCTTTCTGGTAACTTTCGGCCGACTTTGTCGTAGCTAGATCCGTGACAGTTTCTTGTTGCGTAGGTTGTTGCAGCTGTTGGATTTAAGGGCTTAAGGCTTGAAATCCCACGTGATGTAAATCCCAAATTGGCTTCCTTAATAATGGCTTGCTGGGCCGAGTGAGTTGTTCTAATATAGTTCTATTCTTGGGCTCTTTTGCATTTTTGTTTTTCATTCGATATTACTAACTGATAAAATTGCAGTGAGCCCTGGAAACGTCCATCTTTTTCCAGCATAATGGAGACCTTGAAGCCAATGACTAAACAAGCACCACCTCAACAAGGTCGTGCCGACACACTCTCAGTTATGTGACAATATGGAATGTAGGAATGCCTGATGTTTTCGAGTGCTGATAACGGTATCCTTCGAGAGATATCCGGTGCATTTAAAACGTTACTCCAAATGATCTCAGGTGCTCCTATAGCAAAATCTTCCATTTCTACTTGTTCCCTTTTTCAAGCTAAGATCTGGTACCGGGCTTCTCTCAAGTTTTTGTGAAGGGATGGAGAAGTGTTGGAAAACTTCAATTATCATCCAAATGTAGAGAGATTAGAAGAATGTGGATCACTTCCATTGCTCACAATGAAGGAAAGCTTCAACCTTTTTGCTATGGTGTGATAAGGAAGCTGCAACTCCATTGTCAGCCTATTGCAGTTCACGCCTTTACTTGTTTGTATATTTATTGGTCTTATTTTGAGAACGGGACCTGGAATGGAACTAATTTTGTACATACTAATGATTAGTCGTGGCTGGATACAGTGTTATATTCAGTCGGACTTGGTGTTTGCTAGGAAATGTCATTACTGTTATTTAAGAGGCTGTTCAAACATTCAATTAATATTCACTGAGTCTGATAGTTTAGGTCCTGAGAACAGGGAGTGAAGGTCCCAAAATGGGATGGGTTCATTTTCTTCATCACAAAGTGCTGGTTTTTGAATGGAGAAAAAGACCCAACCTTTAAACATCAGTGAAATTTGGTCCAATTAATGTTTTTATTTTAAAATTAATAGCATAGAGTTCTTTAGTGATCTATATACAACTCAAACACAACCCTCCCAGTTGATATAAAAACCCTGCGTCATGAGACAAGGTGAGACAAGAATCTGTCACGGTCATGTTTGTCCAAGGCGTGTTGTCCATGGCTGCATGTCAGATATCTTGATCATGCTTGTTTAGGATGTGTTGTCCATGGTCGTATACTCGTTCCTAACTCCTTTTACATGCTTTCATCTTAGATAAACTTTTACTATTTCATGTTGTCAATATGTTGGTGTATGATCGGTCACCAAAATCATGTTTACACTCATCATGGTTAAAATGCCTTAAAATGTATTATAAGGGACGCAACTAATTGTTAATTCTTTCTACCTTAAGTTATGTTATTTAAGTCGTGATGTTCCTGGAAAAGACTATGATCCACCAAGAATTTTTCTTTATAAAAAATCAATATATTAATCAATTTTTTTCTTAAGAGATATATATTATCAAAATTGGAGATACGATCATCAAATGACAAAGACCTCTAAAATCCTATTGGTCAGTCGAGTTAACTTCGTCCTTAAGCAAATCCCGGTCCAAAGCGTCCCTTTCAAACCAAAACGACCGGTCCAGAAAAAACCCGTGCGGACAAAAGATTTAAAATTCCGCGTTGAAGAGAAACCGGCTTCCCCCTTCCTCCAACCACAATAACGGCCTCTCGAAATAGCGCGGCTTCTGCGAAAACGATCTGATAAACAAAGGTCGGCTCTTCTCTGCTATTGTTTCCTCTCAATTTGCAGAGAATCCACAGCCTCAAATTTTGGCGGCGTCTTAATGGGGTGCCGGCAGAAGCAACGGCTCAACTGTAGAGCTGCTACGACTCGATTCCCAGTCACTGTCACCGCCTTTGAATTTCTTTCCCCAGATTTTTATCGAACACTTTGTCGGCGTAATGTTCTGTGGCGCTCTTTTATATACTCTGATCCATTTCCGAGCTCCATTTACCTTCCCAGTGTCATATTTTTCTTAGTCTCCTTCTATCGGAGGCTTTTCTGTTCAAAACCCAATGTCATCTTCTTCTGCACACTACCTGTTCGACGTTATGCTTGAACCAGATATAGGAGCTTCGGACCCATTTGTGCTGCTGTGTATGGGAAGTGATGTGCCTCAACCTCTAGAATGTCTTCATGGCCAGCTAGTTCCGCCATTTCTGTGGAAGACTTTCGATCTTGTTGAGGATCCTGCGATTGATCCGATTGTATCTTGGGGTTCAGCAGGGCAGAGCTTTGTGGTTTGGGATCCCGTGGAGTTTTCTAGAGTCATTCTTCCTTCTAATTTCAAGCATAACAACTTCTCCAGTTTTGTCAGACAGCTAAATACTTATGTGGGTATTGCACTACAGCCTTCAATGGCTGCTGTGGTCTGTATGTAAATTTTTTGTTCCGCCTTTTCTTCTCTCTTGTTGTAATTTTATTTATTTCTTTGTACATTTATGCTTGTTTTTTGTACTCTTGTATGTAATTGATTCGTATTTGTACTCTTGGGGTGTATTGAACTTGAATTTCATGCTTCTGCATAAGATTTTCAATTATGGGAACTCAGAGTTCTTTTTCCTTAACTTTTTTTTGCTGGCTCGTTCTGGTTTAAACCCAGAGTTCTTTTGCCTTTGAATTAAGAGGCTTGCGCTCTTTCCTGCTTGATATTGCAGACCTGAGGAAATACTCCCCTCCATGTGTTTGAAGGGGATTGAGGAACTTCCATCTCCACCAGGTAGAATCAATCAAATTGATCATATTTATTAGTTCTCTTACTGATTATAGATACAAAAGGTGATGGAGCTTCCCCTATGCAAGAAAAATTTCGACCCCACTTGTGTTGTGTGATAATTTTTTGTTTAAATATACCACATACGTTCTATGAATGTCGGTGTATGCTGATGTATGTTGATAGCAATTCCTTAGGTATGTTATGTTGCTATACTGATGATTTGAAAACCTCTTGGGATTTGCATTCAGGGGTTCCGCAAGATTGATACAGACAGGTGGGAATTTGCAAATGGAGCTTTCCAACGAGGGAAGAAATACTTATTAAAGAACATTCAGAGGCGCAAATCACCTCATTCAGAGCAGATTGGAAGTTTGATAGGGCCATCTACTGGGGGAGGGAAGTCTGGATTAGAAGATGAAATTGGGAAGTTAAAGAAAGAGAGGAGCATGTTACTGCAGGAGGTTGTTGAATTGCAGCAGCAGCATAAGGGAACTGCTCAGCATGTCATCACGGTAAACCGACGCCTCCGGTCAGCAGAGCAGAGACAGAAGCAGATGATTACTTTCTTGTCGAAGTTACTTCGGAATCCAGAACTCTTGTTTCTCCTGAAGAGAAAGAAGGAACCGAAAGATATCGATTCCGAGAGAATCAAGCGGAAATTTGTTAAGCAGCATAAACATGAAGCTGATGGTTGTACACTGTCCATGGAAGGGAAGATCGAAACAGCAATGGATTTGAATCCAAGCCTGTTTGAAGGACCTTCTGCCTACCTTATGCAGGGAATGGAATCATTTCCAGATAGCATACCCAATTTTCAACTTATGAATGCTTCATCAAGTGATTTAATTGCGTCTGAGGAATTAGCATTCCATGATGGAATTGTAAAACCAAGAGAGGAGCTGAGGATAGAGGCTTCAAAGGCTATTGGGAGTCCTGACTATTTTGGCTCTTTGGCAGAGGATATTCTACAGTCCTCACATCATGGAACTGGATGTATCATTAAACCAGAAGAAATTTGGAATGCATACTTGAATGTCGATGCTAGTACGCCCGGTTCGAGCAACGAGTTGTGGAGCAATCCAGTCGGCTTCGAGGATCAATTTTGGCAAGTTTCTTGCAGGCAGTCTCCAATCTGGGATTTAGGCTCCCAGCAGGCTGGAGATTTGGGCATGGACAAGTGGTCAGCTTCTGGTTTCCCATTCAACGACCAAGATACTCAGGCTTATCCCAAAAATGCAGATCAGACTTAATTACATAGTTTGCTTTTGCAGCCACTATGAATCCTAGTTATTTCTAGTTGAAGGAACTGATTAATTCATTTACTTAGATAATGAATTGATTATGAACTTACTTACATACATTCCACCTTCTTACTCAGAATTTTCCTTTATTTCATTCTCTATCTTCCGTTTTAAAATGCTGATTGTGTTTGCTTATGCACTGCAATGCTATCGTAAGCTCATCTTGCTAACATATACATACTTTGAAAGAACTTCTGTTTGCTACACAACAACAGAATCAATGAGGTTCACGATCAAACTTTGAAAGAGCTTGAATGATTAAGATGATAAAAGATAGGCTCAGCATGTAAGAATCAGATTGAAGAACAAAAACAAAATTGTATATAAGCAATAAATAATTTGTCTGCTCTCTCCATATATTTGGCGTGCTACCCTGCAACTCACAACAGCTGACTCAAGTTAGCAAGAGGAGAATCGGATCAAAACTATTCCACTAATATTGAACTATTCCGAATTTTCCTTCGGCTTTTCTGAATCTTCCTTTGGTTTTTTAGAGGCTGGTCCGTCATCTTTATTTTTCATTTTCGCTTCACGTCGTTCTCTCTTCACTCCCTTTGATTTGTCGGGTATAGCCATATCTCCAACCTATGAGTCAATGTTGAAAATCAAGTTTATTCAAATGACTTGCAAATTTGTACCGGATGACATAATGAAGTACCTACTTTGGTGATAAACATGATATGAGAATTCATATCATGAACCTAACATGACAAGAGAAGAGTTCAATTACATGAACCACTTCCAATCTAGAGGATATGCATGCATTGTGACAGTAGCAAGCCCTCTAACAAGAAAAGACATATACAGACAGAGATGTGCACACCTTTTGATCAGGAATATAGATCCTTCCGATCTTGCCCTGAATTGCATCCTGGCTAACATTCTTCTCCTGGAAGAAGTAAACATCAAAATTAGACAAACGGCTAAATAGAAAAAATGAAATGCATGCATTTAAAAGATAGCCATTAAACCTTCTTCTTAGCCTGATCCTTGGCTGTTTTCATGGCTTCCTTCCTTAGACCATCACTAGGAAGTCGGTGGCGGCGAACCACCATATCCATGGAAGGACCAACTTCAACTAGTTCCATTCTTGGAACTACTGAACCTGACTTCTTCAATCGCAATGCACAATGAGTGAGAAATACTTTATTCGGTGAGATGGCTGTACATACATACACACGGTCCAACCCTGCAAGATTTAAATTCTCTACAACCTGCAAAGACAATAGATATCTTTTATATCTAAACATTCAAACTCAAGTCAGCTAAAGCTGCAGGGTTTTTACCTCCCCCCGGAATAAATCAAGCAAAACTTCCTTTAAATGCTTTAGCTCTTCCACATTCTCAAATCCTTCCCCAATGAAAGTAATGAAAGGCTTTGACCCCACCCGTGGCGAGAGTTTCTTATCATATGTGAAAGAATGCATTGACTTGAAATTTTCAATCCCAACCTCAACTAGGTCATAGATTTTGTGATCATAGGTTCTCCCTATGACAAGGTTATCAGGTCGTTTCTTTGAGTGAGAACCATACTGCAAAAGAGGTGCAACAAATACAACAATAAATAACTGGAGACATAAAAGCACGAAGCTGTTTACTGTTTTATAATAACAGAGGAAAAGAGATACAAAACTTGAACACAATAAGACGGAGGTTTCCCTCAAAATAGGGTGCCTCCTAAATTGAAGTTCTCTAAATTCTTGGCGGCTCACCTTACCCCAACAAAAATGCACATCGTGACTATATTTTTCTACATAGGTTCATCTGTTTGAGGACTGCTAAGTTCTTCGATCAAAAACCATTTAGGGAAAACGAGAAGTACTCATCCAAAAGAATCAAACCTTAAACGAATCACTAAACGGCTAGAATTAATTTTATATCAAAGTCTCTGTGATGAAGAGTACAGAAATTGCCTCCGGATGGGAAAACTGAATTGTAAAAGCACATACAAAACTCAAAAAAGTACGTTACTTGCTGCTGAGCTCCAAGAAATTAAGCCAAGTAAATAACCGACGCATGGAATATTAAGCATTCACAAGTGTACGCACCACGATAATACTGCAATCAGTTTTGAGAGAGAAAAATTCCAAAGACGAATCGCCGCCACTTTCAAATGGTTTAATTCCATCATTCTTACGAGAATACTTCACGGAACTTTCTTTCTTCAGGTGATAGAGTTCCGTCAGTACTGCATTCAACACGCCGCTTGTTTTTGTGCCATGAAGTATCAGCGTCTTCTTCCCCGTCTCAACCTGCGATTCAAATCGATAACCAAATCCATCAATACGGGAAGTAAATAACAATTCACAGCCTATACAAACTTCTTTGACATGCTGTTAATCGTCCAGTACAAACTATCTCCCGAAGCATGAAGATATACAGACAGGACTGGAAGAACTTACAATTTTGGGGGCACGTTTCTCAAGCTCTCGTCTAACTTTTCCATTCTTGGGAGTTCTAATCTTCAACATGATCCACAACGACGAGATGACGGAGATGATTTAGGGTTTTGATGCTCAGAAGAATATCGACACTTCCGGCGACTGCAAACTGACGCCGATTTTGGTGGGTTTTATGGCGCGGGCGTCTTTAATGTTAGGGTTTTGGGGGGCAAATTCGGGTTTTTGGAAAAACTCAAGTAATCCTCCTATTTTAATTTAATTCTTTATTCAAATAAATTATGTTAAATTAAGTTCTAAAAAAATTTAGATTGGGATATATTTAATGAATTTACAGTATAATAGATCATAAATTTTTTATTCCAAGAAGTTAAAAAAAACAAAATTTTAAAAAATTCATTGAATTATTTAATAAATTTTAAATTTTATCTTTGCTAAATTAAATAAATTTAAATTTATAATTTAACTAAATAAAATTTCAGTTAATTAGTTAGGCTTTTATTGAAAATTTTAGTTAGGCTTAAGTATTATATTGTCTAGTTTGAATTATGATTTTGACAGACTTTAAATTAGTAGATGTGAGACTTTTATTCAACAACGTTAACATGCATAAATACATTAATAAATTAATGTAAATTTGGTTCTATTTTTTATTTCCTTCTATATATATATATATATATAATATAATTTACAAAATATACATTTAAAATTCTTAAAACTTCATAAATTAAAATAATTCATTGAATTTCGTGATTCCAAATTATAGGCTAAATCTTGCTTTATCGCCGCCACGTGCCTGCCTTTCATTGATCGACTCGTCACCGCAGCAGATAAAAACTCGGAAAAGGGTAATTTTAATGAATCTAAATTATTTGTTATTTGTTATTTTCATATTTATAAAATAAATATTATTAAAAGAAGAAGAAGAAAAAAAAAAAAAAAAGACGGACGTCTCAAACTGGGGCTATGCGTTCTCGCACTCCCTCTATATAAAGAACCAGTCTGATTCCCATTTCAAAGCTTTGCCGGGTTCTAGCATTCTTCAGTCCAATTTCAGTTATTCTTTTTTCTTGTTTCTTTAGTAATCATTGTAAATCTTCTTCATTCTCTGTAACTTTTTAGGATTAGGGTTTAATTCTGGTTCTATCTTGTACAATTTTAGGGTTCAGTGGGGTTTGTTTTTGTAATCTACATGTTGCTTTTGCGCGAACTAGTCACTGGTAGGAAGAAATCAAGAAAGGCTATTGAGATCTTGTCTACTTATTTTGCCAATTCCTTTTTTCGTTTGTATCGACGATGTAATTACAGAGAATTAGAATTTTATTAGGTTTAGGATTAGGGTTTTGGTTTATTTCGTTTGCTAATGGAAATGGAGAGCTCGCGGAGACCTTTCGATCGAACGAGGGAACCGGGTTTGAAGAAGCTTCGACTGGCCGATGAGGCTGACCGCGGTGGGAACATTAATGGCCGGCCGTTTCCGCAGAGACCAGTTGTTTCCGGAACCAATATCGCTCAATCCAGATTTCGAGCAAGCGATAGGGATCCGGGAAGCAGTGATTCTGGTCGAGTGGGGTATCAGCCTCAGCCGCCGCAGCATCAGGAGCTTGTGAGCCAGTACAGGACAGCCCTTGCTGAGCTGACTTTCAATTCCAAACCAATCATCACGAATTTGACCATAATCGCGGGTGAAAATCTCCAGGCTGCAAAAGCGATCTCTGCCACTATTTGTGCCAACATTCTCGAGGTGAACCCAGTTTTAAACTGTGTAGCAGCGTTTTGCATTCCGTTGATTGATTTTTTTTTTTTTTTTTTTTTCTTTTTGTGTGAATATGATTGTATGGGGAATTAGTGTAGAAGGGAAAGAAGAAATACAGAAAATGCTTTCTTGTTGAATTGCAGAAGTAAAATTGTAAATGTAATGGGATTAATGAAATCTTTGCGTCTTACAGCGATTTTAATTATTTTGTAGGTAGTGCAACAGATTGGTTGTGGAATATAACAATTGCTCCTATAATATGTCTTTATGCGTTATCATCTTAGTACTTGAAACTACATCATGATTTTCTTTAGAAAAAGCTTTTTTATTGGAGGTTGTAATAACGTGGGTTTTGGTATGGCTATCAATTCACGCTTCTGGTATCGAATGAAACTTCGCAAGAATAATTAGCAACTCTCATAAGGTTCTTTATCGGGCTAATTGAAAATCTAATTTATAAAATTAGTTAAACAACAATGCAGCTTCTCTTCTTTAGTTGGTTGACTCCCCTGTGTACTGAAATTGATGGTTATATTATACTGTTTCTAAATCCACTAGTCAGGGACGATAAAAAAATTGTACCCAATAAAACCACCAATTGAAATATAGCACCAAGCCGAGTTAACAGATGATTGCATTTTGACAGGAGGCTAATGATCTTTCACCTCGATGAGAGATCGTTGATCTGGGGGAATTTTAGCAGGTTTGAGCTAGGATATTAGATAAAGTTCTTGTGGTTTTGGTGGAACTGTGTATGTTGATAGAAAAAAAAATGGAGTTGCAAGTTTGAATTGTATTGTTATAGAAGTTTTGATCCTTTACGTGTTCCTTTCATGCCGATCCTGTTCTTGTCATTGAGTGCCTTGTGGTGTTTCTTTTCTTCTCCTGATCCTAGTAAAGCTTGAAATATCAAATGATACTAGAGAAGGATC